AGGCTGTCTGGGGGAACAGAGTTGTATCGTTGTTAAGGCCAATGATTAAATGAATGTAAAAGTTACTGCATTTAATGTATGAAATGAATGTCATGCTGGTGTTGTAAGGATACTGCAGGAAGCTGGTGCAACATGCAAAATGGTGTTGCATGGTAATTACTGAAGCTCAAGTCTGGCAGGTAGGCTCCTGGAGGTTTTTCTCAGCTTTGCAATTGATTGACTGTCAGAGACTTTTACTAAACTACTAATATTTAACTTTTATAGCTCTCTTTAAAAAAAAAAATCAATGATTTACTGCTTGTGCAAGGAACTGAGACTTCTGTACAGGAATTCATGGAAATTAGAAATATTTTACTCTTTGCATGTGGGTCTGCAAACTCAGTTCCAAGGCTTTGCCAAAGTTTGAGAACTATCAGTCAATAAATATATGACGGTCAAAAGAGAGCAGCAAGAGAGAGACTCTGAAAGGCAGAATATTAGGTTAGAAATTCTTAGAATACTGTGCCTTTCAGTCTTGGTCTCTTCTGAGCTAATTCTGTTGGGGGCAGCTTCTAAGGTATTTTTTTTTTTCCTTTCTTGGCCACCCTAGTTGCCTCCAGAACAGATTGTAATTTCCTGATGTTGGAGGTGCTGCCACCTTGAATGATTTTTGTTTGTTGTGTTGAAGTATCTCTGAATTCCCAGGTGTACCAGTGTGACCAGCCATGAACTCCATGTGTTGCTGGCGTCTTGTGCATATGAATGAAGGCTCGTGAAATACTTGAAGGTGTTATCCTTGATTATTTGCTGTGAAAGTTCCTCTATTGTAAAGGGAGAGAAAATGTCTTCTGTTCATTATGGATATTCTTCACTACATGAGTTTTTTGGAAAGAGAATTGTTTGAGGTACTTGGAAACTTGCTTTTGGCAGCTGTGCTGCTTTTCAGAAATGAAGAGGAGAAACGTGATAGACCCTTCCAGCCTAGTCTCAATTACCAGTAGAATCTGAGAGGACCTGTATTGTGAAACAATTCTTGATACATTTAAAGTGTGGACTCTTTTTGTTATGGCAATTAGTATTTTTGTTTGTGTTTGAATAAATAAATAGAAATCGGGTTTAACTTGATTATCCAAATAGAAATTTATTGGTGGCTGGAATTGGTGTTAGAGTATTTATTGCATAGATTAAAACTATTCTTATGAGCCTATTGACATTATTATCTGGATAATGCAGTTCTGCCTTTTTCATTTAAGTTGTTCCTGTCTGTTTGAACCTGCTAGCTCTGCTTGCATTAGCAGAGCTTTAGGGGTGATGAGTTAAAAATATATATAATCTGTTTTTCTCATGCAATATGTATCAAGGCTGAGAAAGATACTAATACTGGATTTGAAAGGCATGTCTTTGGCATCTCCTGTATTCAGGAACAGCTTATCTCCATGTAAAAAATACCAACAAACGAGTAAGAATGGTTTGGCTTTGCTGAAGTTTCAGTCTCTTGCTTGGAGAAATCACCTGGGAGAAGCTGGATATTTAAGACAATCATCAGGCTATTGTGACCGTGCATAGGCAGAGGCAGTTATTGGGTAAATTGGCAAAGTGTGTTTCCTAGGAGACTTCACAGAATGGGATAGCAAAGGAGCCTGGACAGGGTAGGGCTTTTATTCACCTTTGCTAGGCAGTTTGCAGAAGGACGTCATGGATAGGGAGATGGATGAAGTAAGAAACAAGGGACAAAGGGCTGCCTCTGTCAACTGAGTGTTTTCTTCTGGGTCCTTATGCTTCATATGCATAAATGTGGACGGCTGGAAAGGTTTTCCTGGTTTCCTGTGGTAGATCCCAAGCAGGGCTGACATTGCATAGCACTTGAAAACCTACTGTGGCCTCTTTGCTAAAACACATCTGTAAGAAGTCATGGTCAACCTAAAACTTTCTAAAACTGGACTATGCAGCTCTGACATGGATCATGACTCTTGTGGCGGCTTAAATGGTAGAAGTGGTTGAAATCCATAGGATAGCGGTTGTATTAATGAATATGTGTTGGTGGATAAAGTAAATTTATAAACTTCAATGTGCTTTTCATAGGCAGGGTTTATTTTTTTCCATTCAGCCTTCAAAATTGTCTAACAAAACATTCGGTACCTAAGGAAGATAAATAGTGAGTCTGTATTTTCCTGCCAAATGTATTACCAAATGTCTTGACTGAATAGCCAGCTACTGAAAAGGGCCTGATTTTGTGCATTGTGGAGGTTCTTTCATTTGATTTAAATGCAGTATTTCAACCTTTGTATCCTTCTAGAAAACTGCAAAACAGTGAAGAAGGGGAGAAGAAGGTGAAGCAGTGCTGCTCTAGCAAGGAGGATGTGGAAATAGTCTCACCCTGGAGTTTGCATTTGTTGCCGTTGTAACAGTAACCAAGTGTGTACTTTCAGCCTGGTCAGAGGGCTTTCTGGGGAGGGAAGGGACAGCAAGGTTTTCGCTCTGGTGATCACTGATTCATGCCTTCCTCTTTCATCTGAGTATGCCTGAGTTTGGTCACAGCCAACTTTAGTGGGGTTAGAAGTGGAACAGCAGCAAGGTGGAGCTCTGAGCTGTAAAAGAGCTATAAGAAGCTGGAGAAATACTTGCTCTGTGATGAATTCTCCTCTGCCTGCCTGTCTTCCTACTGTTAGCTGAGATAGCAAGAATTATCTTTGGTTTTCCTGTGCAAGCTGCAGTGCGGATGTGTCCTTAAGCAGGTATGAAATGAAAAGGTTCCTTCCCCATTACAGTAATTTTTATCTTACTAGAACAGTTCTGTTCCACACTGGAAGTGCACGTGCCATGATGTTCAGACTGCGTGTCTGTGTTCTCACGGTGAAAGGAAAAACAACTGTAGCAGGTTTGAGGAGCAGTATGTTAGGCAGAGACTAGGCTTGCAACAGATGACGTCCTTGTGGCCGTGCAGAAAACCCCTGGCAAGCTCCCCGATCTTCTGTTATGGATAAGTATTAATTGTCTGTAGACTGTCTGGCAAGAAGAATTATTAGAATGAGAGGATGTAACTGTTTATCTCATGCTGCTCCTTGACAGCCTCACATGTTTTTTTTGGGCTTAGATTTGCTTTGATGTGGTCATTGACTCCTGTTAGCACGGGGAATGAGGTGTAGGGGATCAGTGACCTGTACTTCTCCAACGGGTAAACCCATTCTGCTAGCTAGAATGAGGGCTGTTTTGAATCATTCCTGCCCCAGAGCATTTTTTACTGCTTAACTGTAGAGCCATGAAATTAGGCAAGATTTGTGTGCGACAGTGTTAGAGAAAGAGCCTGTTTCACAGAGTATGCAATTCATCTGTATGCACAGGGTCAGCATGAGATTTAAACCCTTTGAGACCTTTTTAAGCTCTTTGGGCTTAACTGCTTGTTGCCTTGCAGAAGTGTGGGAGTTTGACATGGTAAGAATAATGGGTAAATTATTTTTGAAGAGGTTTGGGATTTTTGCTTTATTTTACTTTGTGGTTGTTTTATTTTTGGAAGGGATACAATGACCTGCTGCAGTCTGGTAAATGTCAGCTTGAATATTGACGTGTATTCTTTCTGGATGCAAGTCACTTAAGACTCAGAATTACATTGCCAAAGTAAGGGAGATCTTTATAGGTTTCTTTGGGGTCATGAACACCTTCTACCTCTGTTTAGTAGTTTGGCATATTGAGAAGGGAATCATCTGTTTGTACTCATAAGTGGTGAGGCTTGTTCTTTGCCAGGCTGACCTGAAGACTTCTGGTAGTTTCCGACTTTGCGAGAAGTTTGAAAAATGCATCAGCATGAACCCTTGACTCCACCCCATTATTTATTAAAGTAAATGTTTTGGTAATTAAAAGGTGATTAAATGATTTCCTAACTATTTATTTACTATGCAAAGAATTTGTTGTGGTTAGATAATGATGAGAGAAATTCTTTGAGTAAGTGTGATTTTAGGTTTTGGGAACTGAGCTGTATAGTTGAATTGGGTTTATTTTTTTGTTTTTGGTTTTTTTTTTAAACCTTTTTTAGATTTGAGAAGCTCCAGAAAGTTTACCCGATTCTCCTGGGTCATAAATAAAATGTTATCTCCAGCTTCATATGCTTCACTTCAGGGATTTTCCAACAATAGTAGTTTTCAATATAGCTTGGGGAATTTGCATTAATGGATGGGTGCCTGAAGAAAAACTCTGGGCTGGATTGCTTCCTTCCCGTGCTAGCTGGGCATTTCCTCCAGGGAGTGTGGAAGCTCTTCTGGAGTCTGTAGAGGGCTGCAGGAGCCCAGTAGATTACCTTAGAGCTTTTTGCTCTTCCCCTGTCCCATATCTGTTTCTCTGTGCAGAATATGTGACTGTCATGGTGCTATGTGTTGTTAGATTGCACCCCATGATTTCTGGAATTTCTGGGATGCTCGTGATGGCTATTCTTAAGTTTGTGGCAAGAAGACCTAACTAAGTAATGGTTTGAGTCTATGTTTTCTCATTCCATGATTTATGATAGGAATTGAACTACAAAATTGGACGTGTACGGACATACTTTTGGCAGCTGGCTCAAAGTGGGCTTCAGCAAGGGATTGGACAAGGTGACCTCCGGAGGTCCCTTCCAACCTTAACCGTTCTGGCATTCTGTAAAGAATAAATTGCCTGTGTATAGAATAACTACTTAAATAGGAATATGTTTAAAAGCAAGCATACAGGGAATGTGCTGTTGTGGAAGAGAAATACTTATGTAACTGTTACAGGTAAAAATGATTATTTTTCCTCTTAATTGTGACATGTCACTGGGCTCTTAGTGGGATTTTGCGTTTTAAAGCAGTAGTATCTACATAGAATGTGCAAATTGGTTGTGTTTATTTTTTGAATGGGGAAGTGAAAAGGGTTTTTGTTCTTAAGGTCTCTGCTCCAAGTTTTAAGTTCCAAAAATCGTTTAATGGAAGAGCAACCTATAGAATGCATTTCCTGATGGACACACCTGATGAAGTAACAGGCAGCACTCTCAAAATGTGTGTTTTCACTCTCTTTCAGGTAATTGAGAATGGGTCCTCAACGATGCTAAGTCTACAATGGGAAGTGTTACGCTTCGCTATTTCTGCTATGGGTGCCTTTTCACATCCGTGACCTGGACACTTTTGCTCTTTGTTTATTTCAACTTCAGTGAAGAGAATCAGTCCTTCAAGAATGTGCCCGTCAAGGGGCTGGAACCTCAGAGGCCATTTCCAAAAAAATTTTACCCCCGTTTTACGCGGGGGCCTATTCATATACCTGAATTGCAACAGAAAGAGAATAAAATAGGAAATCCTCTTGGAAATCATGTCCAGGACCCAGTTAAGGGGGAGATAGAATTCTCTCCTGAAATGGGTAAGTGATTTTTAGTGCTGGTAGCAAAATTATTAAAACAATCGAAGAAATGAGATAGCAAGGTTGGTTTGTTTATTTTTTGAAAGATCACAGGGGTAATTGTGTAATGAAGAAGTTTAGTTAAAATGGGGGTAGTACTGGTGGCTTTCTTCATTAGGAATTGCTTTATTTAGTTTAATCCAAAATATACTGTTCCTAACATTTACGGCTGTGCTGTGAAAGTGCTGATGAGGAGGACTGGATTACAGCAAAGTGTCTACTCTTGATGTTATTTCTTGCTTTTGGAAAGTTCAGAGTATACTTCTTTCATATCTTACTCCTATATTGACTGGATTCAAATACATGAACTCTTAGCCACCGAGAAATGTTACTCATATGCAGTAATTAAAAATAGCTTGATAACAATACACAGTGAAGAAGACCCGGTGTTTTGGAGAATATTCTTGGAGTATGAAATCACCTCCAAAAAATGTGTCGGGGACCAATTAAAATGAAAGATTTATTGAGGAGACAGTGGTTAGGGCCGAATCCTGCTTCCTTTGCACCAGCAAATGTCTGTGTTTCGCTGGAGCGTATTTCATCAATGAGATGATTTGAGTTTGTCTTCCAAACTTGCCTTCCAAACTCAAATGCTTCCCCTGTGTAACTGTTCACGGCTTGGTGTTGGTTGTTGTGTTCAGATATGCCAATGGAGGTGTGTTGCATGCGGGTCTGCAAGCTTGCTTTGAGTCTGGAGGCAAATGTTGGGAGTTGTGGTTCCAATGGCTGCTGCTGTGGGAATTGTGACACAGTACCCTGCCTAGCCAGGAGTTTCATCCTCATATCTGATTGAAGTCCTCTGTCATTACTTTGGATGAGCCCTGGATCATCAGCTTCAAGAGTTTATAGAACATTACCAAATTTCAGTTTACGAATTGGTCATTAGATCTGTGAATATATAAGAAAAATGTTAATTCATGTCACACTGTGGTCTTACAAGTGTTTATCAGTTCACTGCAAAAACAGGAGCCAAGTGAGGTGAAGGCCAGTCCAGAGGTGGATGTTTCTTTCCAACTATTCAGTACTGGCCAGGAAAGAAATTAGACCTTTTTAACTGAGGAGTCCCTTGATCTTCAAACCAAGTGACTGGTTTGGTTGGTGAAAGCCAAGGGGAATTCTAGTGCCAGGATAAATTCTACATGAATCATCAGGAGACAGCTGGTTCTCTGTTAGAATTAGATCAGGTGCTGCAGGAAAGGACTTCTTGTCTATTTAGGATAGGGCAGTAATAAACACACCCAGAAAAAAAATTAAAAATGGTGTATGATAGCCAAAACCAAACTGTCATCTGGTAGGACAGTCTGTCTTCTTGGCCAAGGGGAATTCTAGTGCCAGGATAAATTCTACATGAATCATCAGGAGACAGCTGGTTCTCTGTTAGAATTAGATCAGGTGCTGCAGGAAAGGACTTCTTGTCTATTTAGGATAGGGCAGTAATAAACACACCCAGAAAAAAAAATTAAAAATGGCGTATGATAGCCAAAACCAAACAGACTGTCCTACCAGATGACAGTCTTCTTGTTTGAATCTGGGAGAGCCACATAACACAGCTGAAATAAAGCCCTTATTTTCCAAGAGCTTTTATCTGTGGTTTGGACTGAAAACTTTCGGGCCTTTTGCATGCATTTTTGTTGTTCTTCATGAGAATGTTTTAAAAATATTAGCAGTCCTTCTTGTCTATATTGAGAAGATCAGGAAAAAAAGTAGTTAGGGGCTGGTTATGGATGGAATGTTTGGAATATGGTTCTTTAAGCTTGTGCTTTGCACAAAGAAAATGTTTTAAGGTGACCTGGTGACACAGCGTTACTGTGACGCTGAGTGTTTGGGAATGATTGAGTTGGTGTCTGAGCGGCCGAGCCAGAAACGTCATTTTGGAAATGCGTGTCGTTCAAAGGAGGACTGATTTACAGCTTTAGGCCACTGGAAGAGTGGCACTGCCACTGTGAAGAGACCTCATTCCTGTCTGACGACAGACCTTATCCATGGTGGGAGCACTCATCTCTCAGCAGGATAGGGGTCACTCACCACAAGACACACCATGTGGGTATATCCCACGTCTTTCTGAGATACCGCTGCCCAGCACTTCCCACTTGGTCCTGCACAGATGTCAAGGCAGCTGCTCCTGGGTTGTTTGGTAGTGCAGCTGCATTGCCATAAGGAAGAAAACTTCAAAACATTTTTTATGACTTTTTCTTCTTCTTTTTTTTTTAACCTGTCTCATTTTATCCAGCCTTGAGTTCAGCTGACTTTTGTGTAGCAGGTGAAAACTGGAGAACATGAGGTATGGAGAGAGGCTGAGAGGGCTGGGTTTATTCTGCCTTAGGGAGAAGGCTCAGGAGTGAGATTTTATTGCTGTCAACAGCATCTTAATGGGAGATTGCAGGAAGATGGACCCAGACTTTCTGGAGGTGCATGACATTATGATAAGAAGTTAAAGCAAGGAGAAGGTTTCTGTTAGACAAGAAAAACATTTTCAGTGCAATGGTGGTCAAATGTTTGAACAGGGACATGAAGAGGTTGTAGAATCTCCATTCTTGGAGATACTGGAGACTTTCAAAACTCAACTGGTTGAGCAAGCTGGATCTGCTTTGAGGAGTGCCCCTTCGAACGTAGTCTATGATTCTATGAAGCAATTATCCTGGATGTATGGTAGCATGTGAACGAGGAACCCTCTTGTTAGCTATTTTCTGCAGGTTTTGAACCATATGCAGATGATGGGCAGGGTGGAAGGAGATAAATTACACGATCCTTGCTCACTTCTGGTACTGAAATGTCAGTGAAATTGCCTCTGTAGCTTGGTAATAGTTGGATAGGACACACACATCTCATTCTGTGCAGGCAGCTGAATGGAGACAGTAAAAAGTCATTGCTCAGCTACTTGAATTGTTGCAGGAGTGGCCAGTAGGCACAGGTGGTGGCTACGGCTTTTCTCCTTCCTTTTTATTTTGTGGAGGAGTTGGGTGAAGCACCCTAATACTCTGCCTGAAGATGGGCAGGGTGGCAGTGAGGAGTTCAACCTTGGCCTCTAGCAGTGTGCTTGTTTATACCAGTAATTGCTGCCTCCACCAAGCTCAGCAACAGTTTATGCTTCTGCTAAAACAATCAATAAACAGTGAGCTCTGTTGCTGTTTTACTTGCTGTCCAAGTCCCAGGTGATATGAGCAGGAAGTCTACGTTTTTTTCATAGCTGTTTTTGTTACTTCAGAGTTGAGAAAACTGCATGAAATACCTTTTAAGTGTATTTGCCCTCTCAAAAATCCCATTACAGACCCTTCATCTGTATGGGTAGGTGCTGATGCGTTGTCTGCCAAAATTTTATCCTCTGTTGCATGCTTGATGTTGAGTGTTAAGTAGTGCTAAGATTTAGGGGCCGTTTAAGTGACTCGAGTATGTCTGGTAAGGCAGTAAACACAATGAAGCCGTCAGCCTTTGGAGAATTACTTCATTTTATTACAGCTGCAAGAGGTACTCATAGTTACTCTCTATTTGAGAAGGATAACAAAAATAGTTGCACAAAAATACATTTTGTAAAACCAGAGGGATTTTTGAAGAACATAATGGGGTTTAGGGGAGGTTAAAGCATGTGTTTCAATCCTCAGTTGATTCCAAAGGATGTTTCCGAGCCTGTTAACTGATCTTGGAATGGGGTTTTTTACAGGAATGATATTTAATGAAGAAGATCAGGAAGTGAGAGACTTGGGCTATCAGAAACATGCCTTCAATATGCTCATCAGTAATCGACTGGGATCCCACAGGGAGGTGCCTGATACAAGAGATACAAAGTATGTACTATGTATAATTTCATGTGCTCAAGGACTTGTTACTCATGTTGTAACTGATGTAGCATTTAACTTTTTTGCTTTTACGTTTCTGTTGGATATTCTTTCAGCCTCCTGTGTTGCTGAAGGCAGATTTCCAGCAATTTAAACAGGAGTGCTTGAGGTTACGATTTCCATTTTTTGGTCTCTTCCGTCTGTTTTTGACTGAATACTGTTTCTGGAGATCTAATTTTTTGTCAGCTGGAAAAGGTATGTGATAGGTAAAGCCTCACAGAAGCCAGGCTCCAGGAGAAAGAAAAACTGCTACTCCCTGAAAGCAGAGTTTCTTCTTGATTCTTAATTCACTTTAAGAATGCTTAATGAAGAACTAGATTGCGTATATGCTTACTCAAATTTTATCATATTAATTTGATTTCTGTGAGTAGTAGGACTGGCAGACAGCTGTTTTGATAGAAACAAGATTCCAAAAATAATACTTTAAATAGAAGTCAGTGTGGAAGAGCCCTAGGAATCAATTTTTTTTCCCCAGCAATACTAGGATTACACATCCCATGTCTCTCTCATCTTGCTAGCTGTCTACTCAGTTACTTAAAACAGGCTACCGTATGTTTGTTTTTGAAGCTTCATTTTGAGATACTCCATGCTGTAACTACCAGAAGAGATGCTGTAATTCTGTTTGCTACCTTTGAAAGTTGGGCATTAAACATTCCAGTGCCCAAGTTAATGAAAGACTTTCACTTTATGTACTGTTTCACATTTGTTGTAAGCCTACAGAGGGTAAGATAGAAGAATGACTGATGGCAAATGCTCTCTGTTTCTCAGTTAAAGTCCTTGCTTGCTATCTGGATGATACTACTCTGAATGCTTTCTATTGAAAAGCAGATATTTTTCTATAATCTGTCTCATGCATATGGAAGAAGACCTACCACTGTAATAACAAAAAAACCCCAACGTTGAACTGAAAAGTAAATAAACCTGCATCTGTTTTTCTAGTGGTTTCTCTGATGTGGGTAAATGTAATGAATCGAACTTGCTGAAACGTCTCTCCCAAGAGCTGAGCTGATTCCAAGTCAGTGAAGACTTCTTCTATACTTCTGGGTTTTTATTTGTGGTTTCTTATTTTTATGGAATTCCCTCATGTCTGGCATCTTCATATGGCATTAATCTGATACAGTGTCCTGTTAAAGATATGGACAAAACCTTGAAAATAAAGAGAAAGAAAGAATGATCTGCTTTGAATGGGATTCAGGTCACAGATTGAGATGTTTAAATTGTGATAGCTGCATGTTAGTCTCTGCTTTTATTATAATTAGCAGAGATCCAGGCAATGCAGTTAATGGAGCATGCAGAGCTCTTCAGCTGACAAAATGGACTTGTCAGCCGTAGGGTGAGCTGAACACGACCTGGACTCCACTGACAGCAGCGACTAGACTTCTGTGTCTTAATCTGCAGGCTGAATCCAAACCTTGGCTGGGTAAATAGGTGTTTAGCACTGTCAGAGGTATCCTGGAATATCCAACCTCGTCTCCAGAAGCTGGCCAGTAATTTGTTTGGGTTTTTATAGGCCTCATGTCATATTGGCCATTCCTGTACATGTCTGAGCTACCCGAGGGTGCAAGACAGTGTTTTGACAGTTGGAACAAGCCCTTAGCATTTTTTCTTGTTTATATCTTGAGGATCTACGATTCTCGCTTTCACCTTAATCTGTCCTATCCTATGTTTTCTAACAAGTAGGAATGTTAATTATAAGCCTGTATTTAGTGGAAAGTAACTTCTGTGCAGAGTCCCACTATAGATGTTATACACCCAGGCTCTTTATGTTCAGGTTGGGAGTTCTTCCTGCGCGTTTACTGTTTGCTTGTTATTTATGAAGTTTCAGTAGTGACCTAACCTTATGGCAATTCCACTGAAAATACAGTGATAATGACTATATTTCTGTTTGCAGATGTAGGGAGAAGTCCTACCCTTCCAATCTGCCGCCTGCCAGCGTTGTTATCTGTTTCTACAATGAAGCGCTTTCTGCCCTGCTTCGCACGGTACACAGTGTCCTGGATCGCACTCCTGCACACCTTCTTCACGAAATTATTTTGGTTGACGACAACAGTGAATTGGGTGAGAGAACCTTTCAGAAATATTTTGGTTGGTGCTCATGCTTCTTGACCTTCCTCTTTCAGTGCTTTCTTGACTCGTCATAAAAACATGGAAGGCGCGACGCAAAACCAATTTGCGCTGCAGTCCCATCTCCAAAAAAGCACAAGCCAGCAGAGGCGCATGATGGTCTGAGAAGCCCGGGAGGGCACCCGCTTTGGCACCGATGTCATTTTACTGATGAGCTTTGTATGACACAGATTTTAACAATACTGATGAGCTTTGTACGATACAGATTTTAACATTCAAAAAGAAGTTTCAAAGCTAGTAATGAGGAGTGTGTATTTGCAAAAGGGGTGATTAAGCAGCTGTTAATAGTTCAGCTGTTTCTAACAGTACATTGCTTAGGCTGCTCTGATGCTTGGAGCAGATTCCACTGATCTTTCTGTAAACTTGGTGGGCCGGTACTAACTGTGAATGCATCTGAAAGGAATTGAATACGGGTAGTCTCAGCGGCGGTGTTCCAAGTAAGTTGATGTGGCACTGTGGAAACAACCCGTGAGGTTTTTTTTGAACTTGCTCAGCATTTCAGGCTGGGGATATGCTGGGATGGAGCTCAGCCCTTGCTGGGATGGAGCTCAGCCCTTGCTGGGAGGGCTCTGCGTGGCTCTCGCACAGCCTCTTGTGGCCACCCGAGGAGTAGCTCTCCTTGGCTCTTGGAGCAGCCTCTGCTTTCTCAGTCTGGGAGGGGCAGACCTTGCAGAAGTGCTTTACTGTCGTTGAAAGATTGATGCATCGGCATTTTTCTCTCGCATGATGGACAAGACAAAGACAGACACACAGTTCAAGCGTTTTGGCACTTCAAAAGCGAAATGCCTGTTGAGGAATGTGTTAGTGTAGCAGTACTTGCCAGCAGGACTGTGCAAGTTCCCTGCTTGCCTCTGTACAGGTCCACAACTTTGGGCATTTTAAAATTATTTTTAGATTGTATTTTTCTAGTACATGTAATTACGTTCCTTGATCTCTGCGTTTAATTGTACAATTATAGAATGGCTTGAGTTGGAAAGGATCTTAAAGATCATCTAGTTCCAACCCCTGGCCATGGGCAGGGGCACCTCCCACTAGACCAGGCAGCTCAAAGCCTCATCCAGCCTCATCTTCAGCACTTCCAGGGATGAGGCATCCACAGCTTCTCTGGGCAACCTGTGCCACTGTCTCGCTACCCTCATAGTAAAGAACTTCTTCCTCGTGGCCAATCTAAACTTACCCTGCTCTAGTTTAAAACCATTGCCCCTTGTCCTGTCACCACATGACCTTGTAGACAGTCCCTCTCCAGCTTTCCTGTAGCCCCTTCAGGTGCTGGAAGGCCACTGTAAGCTCTCCCCGGAGCCTTCTCTCCTCCAGGCTGGACAGACCCAACTCCTTCAGCCTGTCCTCATAGGAGAGGTGCTCCAGCCCTCTGACCATCTTTGTGGCTCTCCTCTGTGTCCTCTCCAACAGCTCTATGTCCTTTTTGTGGTGGGGCTCCAGAGCTGGACACAGTACTCCAAGTGAGGTCTCACAGGAGCAGCTTAGAGGGGCAGAATTGCCTCCCTTGACCTGCTGACCATGCATCTTTTGATGCAGCCCAGGACCCGGTTGGCTTTTTGGGCTGCGGGGGCACACTGCCAGGCCAAGTTAAGCGCTTCATCAACCAGCACCCCCAAGTCTTGCTCTTCAGGGCTGCTCTCAATCCACTTGTCATCCAGCCAGTATTTGTGCTTGGGATTGCCCCAACACAGGTGTAGGACCTTGCCCTTGGCCTTGTTGAACTTCGTGAGGTTGGCATGAGCTCACCTCTCCAGCCTCTCAAGGTCCCTCTGGATGGCATCCCTTCCCTCCAGCGTGTCGACCACACCACACAGCTCAGTGTCACTTGCTCTGAGACTATACATAGATATGTATAGCTTAAAATGAAATTTTCTTGTTCTGCAGCTAATTAATTTCTCTGAGATCAGATAAAATGTTAAGATACAGGAGAGAACAAAGATCAAACACTCTCTCACTTGTAAGAATATGTAGTATTGGAAAGTTTGTTTTGTGTTTTGGAATCAATACCCATGTGCTCTTTGCTACAAAGTCCCCTGTGAAATGCACGTGCTTAATGCAGGTACTTAATGCCTGTGTTAAGGCAGTAATACCACTGCTCTTCTGGTCTGTTGTGAATTTGAAAGCCAAATGAGGTTCAAACCAAAACATTTAGGTAGCTACCTTTGCCTTTCTGACTTCAGGTGACCATGTTTTGAAGCCCAAGATGGGAGGAGAGAATTAAAGCCCTTGATGATGATGGTGTTTGTGCTGCTGCTTAATTTTAACAGATGGAATTTTACAGCTGGGGAATGGCAAAGCTAGTTTGGAGACTGAGGAAATGGACAAAAACTGTTTATGCCAGGGATCTTCTGTGAGCTGGAGCAAACTGCTTAATATCTATGCCCCTTTGATTTATTTTTTTTAAATTAATTTTCACTACATTACATACTTCCTGAAATGGTATCATAGATGAAATTCTGCCGATTTCTTCAGCTTCAAATATAGGAGCTCTGCTGCAATGTCACTGCCATTCTGCAAAACTTGGGTCTTTGCATCTGGTTTTGCCTCAAAGCTTCTTAGACTCAACCATCAACAGTCTTACTAGCTAAAGCAGGCATTTCCATGGCTCAGCTGAGCCCACTGTTATGTTTTTCTTTTCCTTTGCTGCAAGGCAGGTTTTTTTCCTTAGTATAACCTCTTTTCTCCCTGATTTAGGCTTTACCTGTTATGGAACAGCCTACAGGATATGTTGAAGGCTGTTACTGGAGGCTGCCTTCTAAGCAGCGAAAGAGACTGAAGAACGGAAAGGGGCCAAATTGTTTATAATTTAGGGCTCTGAAGTAATAACAGCCCTTCTAGGTTTCTGTTGTTTGGAGGAGCCTTCATTACATAGATATGGAGCAAGATAACAGCTGAAGTAATTTTTGGAGACTGTCTGCTGGCTAAAAGGGAGTAATTCTCTCCTTGGAGCAAAATGTCTCAGGCAGGCTGTATCGAAGCAATTTTTGGGGTTATGCCAGAGGAAATCAATTTTCCCAATGGACATGAAGCTGACACACAAAAACCCATCAGCAATGAAAACCTCAAAAGGTGCCTGAGACTAAACTGCCTGATCCATGATGTGTCCAGAGTGGTCCATGAAGTATTTAGTCCTAGGCAATGGCTGGGCACAGTGTCCAGCGGAATGCTGATTTCTGTGGGTCAAAACTGTGCTCTGAGAGCATGTCAGCCATTAGGTACTACAGGCTCTTAGGTTCTGCTGCTTAAGCCTGTGTTGTGGGCCTGGTTTAACTATGGGTGTGGCCTCTTATTCCCCCCTGCCCCCCTGAAAACTGCTACTTTCAGAAGTCTGCACATGCCACCGCAGACGCAAAACTATTTCTACTTGTATGTCCTTTCATGCAGCCTTATCTGCCATAAGCACTGAGTTTAGTAACTGCCCGTTTCGGCTTTGTGCCAGCCCTTATTTCCTGCCGTGGAACACTGTCTTTCCTTTGCGATGATACATCAAGTGAAGAATGATTCAAGCACTAGCTTATTTCAGGTTTGCAAATCCTTCTCTCCCAGTTATTTGGGTATCTTATTTGAGTAGCATCCCAGAGATGACTTTTATTTTGACTTCCTAGGAGACTTCCTCAAAAAACCCATCCTTTCCTATTGTCTTTGGCATGTGATGTCACATTCAAGACAAGGGGAGAGAATTCCTGTGACCCAAATGAATCCAGTCTGCATCTCTAGAGAATTTTCTTTGTCCTAGAGTATTCCTTAGCACCATATTTGTTATGTGGTATCTTCTCATTCTTGATCCATGATGTTGTCTTGCATTCAAAGGCTGAAATCTTAACATTTGGAATTGCTTCTGGGAATTTCCTTTTCAGTGTCCCTGCCTCAGAGTTCTTGTACCTCCCAAAGGTTACAGCCCTGGATTCCACATACGTTCCTTTGGCATTTATTGTTGTTAACAGCAACTTTAATGTTTGAACTGGCATTCATCAGAATAATAATATTTATTCCAGCATGTCCTGTGTCTGCCTCTCTAACAGGATGCTCTATGAAGTCTCAGCTGCCTTTTCTTGGTTTTCCTCATCATTTTATATTCCTCTTTATCATTCTCTAAGCTGAGAATCATTTGGATTGGAAAAGACCCTTGGGATCAGCAAGTCCAACCACTAACCCTACTCTATAAAGCTCAACCCTAATCCATATCCCCCAACACCACATCTAAACGACCTTTAAACACATCCAGGGATGGGGACTCAACCACCTCCCTGGCCAGCCTTTTCCAATGTCTGGTGACTCCTTCTGTGAAAAAATATTTCCTAATATCCAGTCTAAACTTACCCTGTTGCAGTTTGAAGCCATTCTGTCTTGTTCGATTGCTAATTACCTGTGAGAAGAGACCATAGAATCATAGAACAATTCAGGTTGGAAAAGACCCTTGGGAGCACCAACCTCTCTACAGTGTCCTTTCCGGTAGTTGTAGAGAGTGATGAGATCACACCTCAGCCTCCTCTTCTTCAAACTAAACAAGCCCAGCTCCTTCAATCATTCTTCCTTAGATTCATTCTCCAGGCCCTTCACCAGCTTTGTTGCCCTCCTGTGCACTCTTCCAGCACCTCAGTATCTCTCTTGTATTGAGATGCCCAAAAGTGGACACGATACTCAAGGTGTGGCCTCACCAGTACCAAGTAGAGGGGGACAGTCACCTCCCTACTCCTGCTGGTCACACTATTTCTAATACAAGCCAGGATGCCATTGGCCTTCTTGGCCACCTGGGCACACTGCTGGCTCATTCAGCCACTTGTTGATTAGAACCCCCAGGTCCCTTTCTGCCAGGCAGCTTTCCAGCCACACTGCCCCAAGTGTGTAGCGTTACCTGGGGTTGTCGTGGCCCAAGTGCAGGACCTGGCACTTGGCCCTGGTGAAGCTCATACCATTAACACTGGCCCATCGATCCAATCTGTCCAAGTGTCCCCATAGGACCTCCCCTACCCTCGTGCAGATCAACACTCCCACCTCACTTGGTGTTGTCTGCAAACGTACTGATGATCCACTCTATGTCCTTGTCAAGATCATCAATAAAGATGTTAAACAGAAATGGTCCCAGCATTGAGCCCTGAGGAACACCACTTGTGACCAACTGCCAGCTGGATTTTGGTGACCACTGACCACCACTCTTTGGGCCTGTCCATCCAGCCAGTGCTTTATCCAGCAGATCATGTGCTCATCCAAGCCATGAGCAGACTGTTTTTCCAAGAGAATTCTGTGGGCAACAGTGTTAAAGGCTTTTTAAAAGTATAAGTAGACAATAACCACAGCCTTTCCTTTGTCCAATAGTCAGGTCTTATTAACGTATGTTTATCTATTATTCCAGTCTTCATCTTCTCTTCAGTGGTCCTGCTTTAATGTTAGAAACAGCTGTACTTGTGTGAAAAAAAGTATTGTTCTTAAAATCAAGTTAAGTTGCAGTAGTGCCTATAGACTTCAGTGAGGGTTGCTCTCCTTCAAAAGCACATGATGGCTTGGGATTTTAGAAAAGCAACCCCCTCCGAGTTGTACTCTGTATCTCCTGTTGTATCAGCTGTGCAGGTACAGAGAATGAAAGGTGTCTTCATGCTTCTTTAGAAAGCTGTCAGTGTTTGGTTTAGTGTATGGGCTGTAGTAATTTAAATCACATGCCTTTGTCAGAGGGCTTTCTTCTGCTGCAAATGATGAGCAGAATTTGGAAATGCTGGGTTTTTTGTACAGTACTGTGTTGTGGTTTTGTTTTTCTTTTTAGTAAGTCCTTTTATCATGGAGACTCACAGTTCCAGTTCAATTCAATTATATTGTACTAAAGGCTTTGCAAACAGAGCAAAGAGGTAACAATCCAGTCTATTTTCAGGAAACCAAGGCTAAGTATAAAACCTGAGACAGTGGCAGCACATAAAAAGTTGGTTGGGAAAATACAAGGAAATGTTTATCAGCA